CTGCACCAATCACTGGCTGCTGGGGCCTTCCTTCTGCACCAATCATTGGCTGCCAGGCCTTCCTTCTGCACCAATCACTGGCTGCCAGGGCCTTCTTGGAGCCAGATGAGTCAAATCACAGCAACAACTGCTGTTGGTAAAAACAAAACAAAACAAAACAAAACAAAACAAAACAAAACAAAACAAAACAAAACAAAAAAACAAAACACAACACAACACAAAACAAAACAACAAAACAAAACCAACTGCTGTGCCAACTTCTTCAGGTCTCAGGCCTTGGTGGAACCCAAAGGTGGGAACCTGAAGATGGAGGAACAGTGGCCAGAGACCTCAACCAGGAGCCAGGCAGAGTGGCCAGAATAAGAAGTGGAAATCGTCCAATCACAATGTATGTACAATTCACAACTGGTTCTGCACACTGGATGCCAGAACAGATCAAAAACCCCAGGTACAGGGGCTCGAGAGACAGCTCAGTGGTTAGAGCACTGGCTGCTCTTGCAGAGGACCCAGGTTCAGTTCCCAGCACCCACATGGTGCCTCACAACCAGCTGTAACTCTAGTGCCAGGGGACCCCACACCCTCTTCTGGTCCCTCCAGGCATACGTATGCTACACAGACACATTAAAAAGAAGAAGTTCCAGCTCCGACTTCCCTCCCGCCCTGCGCTTCGGTCCCTTTGCTAGTGGACAATATTAGAGACAGACCAGACCCATGCTCCTCCTTGTCAGTTAAGAACAAAAACTCCCTTCCAAATGCCAGCGCCACGGTGCGGGCTTCTGTGCGTCAGGCGGAGAGCCCTGGTGGCTGGCTGTGCATTTGGAATCCCTAAAGGCTTACTTACCCAGACCCTGAGAAGCAACAGGCAGGCCTGAGTAGCATCCATATTTGAAACTAAAATCCTGCAACTCAGGGATCTTAGCTGGAATTTGGTAATGGTGCCGGAATTCGGTGTCCAGAGGTCGGGGAAGAAACGCTTTCCAGTCCAGGGACGTGGGAAACTTTTTCATGGTCTTCTTAGCTAGGGTGAGACGGGAAGACAGTGGTTACCCCTTGTGGACTGTTTCTGAGTGGCTTGTCACTGAATCTTGCTTTGGCCGGTAGCTTCCATCGCACTGTGAAAACGGACTCTTGTTGAGTTTAGAGCTATAGTTGTTTTGCTCTATGAGTGCCTCAACCAAGGAACTCTCAAACGTGGGAGTTTGGGCTTGACTGACCATAAGTCGCTTTTGAATGGCTAGATACTCATGGCCACGAGGAGAGCCCTTCGAAGCGTGCTGGTGGGCACAGAAGCCAGCAGCAACCCTGCCGAGGTCTTCCTAGGCCTTTGAAAGGCAAACCAGAGGGAAGAGTTTGGGGTGTGGCCAGAGCTGCTGTATGAAACAGGATTCTCAATTAAATCTGAACGCCATAAACAGTGAATACTTTCAATTTTTGTGTGACGATGTATAAGTATTCATTATTTGCAATAGACCACAATTCCAATTTAACTGGACAGCCCCTTGCTTTTATTTGTTGGAATTGGCAGCCCTAGATGGAGTGGGGGGGATATCATCCCACTGTTGGGAAAAAGTTAAAAATTTGTCCCTTACTGACAGAGCGTTGAGGGGCACCATTGTCGTTAGTGGGCGATAGCATTATTATTTCTTCAAAACATTTCTGCTAAAATCCTCCACAATGTGGGTTCACTCTTCCTCAGTCATCTGTATGTGTTGGCCGGGCTAGGGCTACTTAGTTCTTTTAGGCCTGTCTCAGACGGGAGGCTGTATATTCAAAGCAACCTCACCAAGCCAGGAGCTCTCAGTCCCTTTAAAGTGTGGCAGTCAGCCTCCGGATTCCTTTTCCACTGGTAACTGAGACACTACCAGCCAGTCATGCTAACCCCCACCCTCCACCCAAGGTGCTGGCTTCCATTAAGATGCACACGAGTTCCCGGAGCATTCCACACTTGGAGCTCCATAGTGTAGTAATGGTGATCACATCTATTTCTACATGCTGACAGTCCTAGGTTCGAGCCCCAGTGGAACCATGATGAAAAAAAATGTTTCTTGGCCAGGTGTGAGACCAGCCTGGTCTACACAGCGAGTTATAGGCTAGCTAGCTAGGGTTACGTTGTGAGATCTTGTCTCAAAATCAAAACTAACTAAGGCTCCACAAAAAGGCACAATCTAAAAATAAATATAGAAGACCATTCAGAATCGTTACACCATGAGCACATGGACTATAACAAGGGGAATTGGTTTTCTGTCTTCACTCGCTGTTATAATTCATCAAAGTCAACTTCTCTAAGCCTGAATGTGAAGACAGCCACTTTTCATGCTTCCTCTCTTCATTCGCTTTAATTCTTCGGTGAACACTCAAAACCACAACATGGTTTCTCCGCTTCAGAGGCTTAAAGTATTAAAGAAATGAACACACAACAGCATTATGTGGTGGATCCTGTAAAGGTTAATCTAACAGAAACACACATACACGAGAGAGAGAGAGAGAGAGAGAGAGAGAGAGAGAGAGAGAGAGAGAGAGAGAGAGAGATCCAAAGTTTAGAATCGGAGAGGTTTCCAGCACAGAAATAAAGCCAAAGCCTAGACTTGGATGGCAGATCAAAAATGAATCGTTGCAGAAGAGGGAAGCAGTGTGTGTAGACAGCAGGCAGCATTGGGGGCCTGGTGAATCTGTGGGAAGGGCAGCCGAGAACCATCTCCGTGAGTGTGGGGGCCAGTGCGGAGAATGACGGAGCGGGGCAAGGACTCGATGACACAGATCACATCAACCGAGTCATTTTGCTTTCCTCTTGAGGGCAACGGGAGTCCCCAAAGGGTTTTAAGCCAGAGCTGACATGGACTTGCCCATCAAGAAACCCACTTTGACACACCAAGGAAGAGAGCTGGGTAGGAGGCCATCCAAAGAGAGACACTGGCACCCAGAACCTAGACAGCACAGTGAGGAAGGCTAGGATCAGACAGGGCAAGAGACGCAGGAGGGGTCTTGACGCGAGTTTGCCTGCACACAGAGCAAGGGTGATTGGCTTACTCTGAGCAGACTAGAAACACACGCTTTTCGTAAAGAAGACAGAGCTCTGAATGCTTTCCTGTAGCCCTGATGTCTACCTACAGACAGCATTGTCCTTTAATCTTTTACCTGTCTAGCTCCAAAATGGTGTTTTTCATACGTTCTATCATTCAGCAAGTATTTCCCAAGCTCCTTCTAGCTACCAAGCCCTCCACTGGCCATGAGTGAACAAGGGCCTCTGGAGAGGGATCTTAAACCAAATATGAAAGATTAAAACAAAAAACAACAGAGAAGAACCCATGATAAGAGGGGCCAGGAAGATGACTCAGCTGTGAAGAGTTCTTACTGTTCCTACAGAAAACCCAAGTTGGTCCCTAACATCATGTCCGATGACTCAGAACCACCTGTAATGCCAGCTTCAGGGGATCCAGCATCCCCAGCCTCTAAGGACATCCAGGCCCTCAGCAGATGGAGTCCCTGTATCGGGGACTGACTAGCCTTCAGCACCATGAGCCATACTCTGGTTTATAAAGTACTCATTGTGTTAGTCAGTCATCAGAACTGTGTCCCAATCCCTAACGACAGCATTTTGCAAGAGAAATATTTATTTGGGGTCACGTTTTCAGAGATTTGGGTTTATGGACAAGCTGGCTCCATTGTTGCTGGGCCTTGGTAAGCCAGAGCATCATAGTGGACAGGACATGGTGAGGCCAAGATTCTCACCCCCACAGCAACCAGGAAAGAGAGAGGTGGAGAAGGATCTGGACAAGGTCTGCCCTTCAAAGTTCCATCCCCATCAACCCTACTTCCTCCAGAGAAGCCCCTACCGCCTAAGTTTCAATTATCTCTCAAAATAGTGCCACCTGTCGGCTTCAACATACGAGCTGTGCAGACATTCATATTCAACAATGCCCAGACAGTAGTATTCTGCTCTAGTAGAAAAACACAGATATTCCCCCTTTTAAGAAAAGAAGATAATATAAAAAAATCACTGTATTGTAATGAACTCGTAGATAAAAATGTCACGCAGAGGCAGATTGATGTAGTGACTCAAATACTCACCCAGTCTCGAGACATCTCTTAACTCAGTTTATTCTCTGCAAAGCTGAGTCACAGAAGCTGTGGACTTAGGATTCGGGAGAAACGAGTGGAATGATGGATTGAGAAAAGAGGGGAGGCGACCAAAAGTCTGCACACCAGCCAAGAAGACCTCAACACCGCTCCCCATCCCTACCCCCACATCCCCACTCCCCCCCCCACACCCTGGCCCCCACTCTGGGAAGCCTCACTCTGGGAATCCCAGCAGTCATGTGCTCAGCCCTCTAGTTCTACAAGCATCCTCTTCAAAACACGATCACTCAGTCACTCATTTAAATCAGCCACCAGCTACAAAGGCATCTCCGGGCATGGCTCTATATGACCAGTTCCTCATCACCCACTGGGACTGGGAAGGGGTGTCTTTTTCTTTTTCCTTTTCCCTTCCCCTCTTCCTTCTCCTCTCCTCTTTCCCATCCCTTCTCTTTCCTTTTCTCCTTGCTTTGTGTTTCGAGACAGGGCCTTGTTATACACGTCAAGCTAACCTTGAATTCTGAGTCCTCTTGCCTTGGCTTCCAAAGATGTGGTTACAGGCATTCACCATGACTCCTGGCTAATGGGAGTCTTTTCAGGTCTTTAGACTCCATCGGGATATTTGGTCGTAGCAACGTACGTTTATTTATTTGCTTGTTCACTTTGCAGTGCACAGGGTCAAAAATGCTACCGCTGAGCACTGCTCCAGACACCTACGCTTCTTACAAGGTGTACCTTTCTATACTTGACTGGTTTTGTTGGTAAAATTTCTTGTCCCGCACTAGCTTGGGAGTTCCTGTAAGAGAAAGACTCCCTCCGTGCCTCTTACCACTACCCAGGCACGTGCCCAGGGAAAGGAGAGACATCTGCTTACCTTGAGCCATGTCCACGAAGTCCCTCTTGGTATGGGAAACAAACTGATTTGCTATCGCCTCCCGGACTTTTTCCATGGATGGAGCCTCTATCCAAGGGAGGGGGTGGGCTGGTTTCCCTTTGGGGAGTGTCCACTGGAAGAATTCCTGTCAATGCAAGTATGGTTTTAGTAAGAATCCACGAAGGCTCACTTCATGGCGTCCAGAACACATGGGTGTTTGTGTGTCCATATCCTTTGGAAGCCCTTATAACCAGCGACCACACCACAGCTGCCTGCACAGAGCGCGCGTTGAGAGGGCCTGGCCGTCACAGGCCATAACACAAGTACTGACTCAGCTACTCTTCTTGCTGTGGCAGATACCTGATGAAAGATCTTGAGGACGGGTTTCTTTAGGTCATGCTTTGAAGGTTATAACTCACTGTGATGGGAAAAGCAAGGCGACAAGATTGGGAGGTGGCTGGTCACACAGCATCCTTAGTTGGGAAGTAGAGGCAAATGAATGGCTGAGTTCAGCTAGCTTCCTCCCCGCCCCGCCCCGCCCCGCCCCGCCCCTTTTTTATTTAGTGTAGGACCAGAGCCACCAGGGGCTGACAACACTCACACTCAGAGTGTGTCTCTTCTCAATTAAATCTCTCTGCAAACTCTCAGACACACAGGGTGGGGTGTCTCTGATGCAATCCTAAAGCCAGTTAGGTTAAGGATGAAGAGCCAACCATCACAGACACCCTTTGTGTGCTGGTTTTAACCTTTGACCCTGACAGCAGAAGAAGACTGTTGCTGAGCGGCGGTGCACCCCTTTAATCCCAGCACTTGGGAGGCAGAGCCAGGCGGATCGCTGTGAGTTCGAGGCCAGCCTGGGCTACCAAGTGAGTCCCAGGAAAGGCGCAAAGCTACACAGAGAAACCCTGTCTCGAAAAACCAAAAAAGAAAAAAAAAAAACTGTCAACTTTACAGGTCGAGAGCAAAACTCTTGTGTGGACAACAGGCATGTTAATCCCGGTCCTGGTGACATGTGTGTAAGGAGCAGAGATAGTGTCTGGTGTCCCTTTGAGTCTTAGAGAAAAGGCTGCCTCCCTTCCAGAGCCACAGCACTCTGAAGGGTTTAAGAGAGCCAGTGACGATACACACCGACATCGCCTCCATCTCTCCCCCATCCTCATCTCTCGTGATTGGCTGTTACAGTTAACCTCATTGTCTGTTTGATTGGATTTTATACCATCCAAGAGATGCTTCCTGTGTGTCCAGGAGGGCATTTCCAGAGAGCATTGCCTGAGGGGATAAGACTGAACCTGAACGTGGCGGCACCATCCCATGGGCTGGAGGCCCTACCCTCCCGCTGTAGTGATGTTCGGCTCAATGCAGCCAGGAAAACATGGGCTGAACCGTGAAAGGCTACGCCAGATAAGGTCCCCCCTTTCCTCAGGCTGTCCCTGCCTGTGCTTCCTAACAGTGACACAGAAGTCACCATGTGTCCCAGCTCCCTCAGAAAGGGGTGCCACCAGCCAGAGAGCTCCGTGGTCCAGCACACCAGGCCCCAAGCACTGCGCCCACACTCACAGCTGATGTGGTAGAGAACGGCTGTGGTGGGAGGACTCTGAGGTGTGCCCAGCAGGGTCCAATGCCAGCACACGCCAACCGTTCTCACTCTCTTGACAATTCAGTTTCTCCCTTCCCGCTGGGTGGTTGCCAACCAACCAAAAGAAGCCCCCTTCCCTCCTCCTGCCTTACAAAGAAAGCCCTGTCTCCATCTCCCTCCCCCCCCACCTCTAGCTAGTAAAGTGCTCTTTAGAATTGCATCCCAATTCTGCAAAATAGTTCTATGTACCCATGCTTTGCGGTACTCCTTCGTTCCTTTGGTGGTTTATCTACTGTAGAGAAAAGTTATGAACGCGATGTACGTGTTGAAGATGCCTCTGGGTGTGCAGGGTCTCTGTCTGGGTTTTGTTGATTGTTTACTCTTTGTGTTACTTCACAAGTGTCTGTCCCCAGGACGTAGACTGAAGACAGTGTCCTTAGAATAGACTGTCAGTGATGTTGGGGCAAGGCAGAGTGAGCCACGTGATATATGTTGTTTCTTCTCTGTGTAATGGTAGCAGCTATTGAGACTCGGTGATTAATAGTGTCCAGAGCTAATGCTCTTTGGTTGAGAGCACAAAGAACAGTTTGACACACCAGTTCTCACTGGCTGAAAGCACACACGCGTCTGACACACTTGTTGGCTGAGAACACTCAGGAGTGCCAAGTTAACACTCACTAAGGGTCTTTAATGGGGGGCTGAAGAGATTGCTCAGCAGTTAAGAGCACTGGCTGCTCTTCCATAAGACCCAGGTTCGGTTCCCAACACCCACATGGCAGCTCACAGACACCTGTAACTCCAGTTCTCGGGGATCTATTGCCTTCTGGGCTCCATGGGCACCAGATGTACCATAGTGCACAGATGTACATATAGCACACGCCTTTAATCCCAGCACTCGGGAGGCAGAGGCAGGCGGATCTCTGTGAGTTTGAGGCCAGCCCGGTCTACAAAGCGAGTTTCAGGAAAGGTGCAAAGCTACACAGAGAAACCCTGTCTGGAAAAACCAAAAGAAAAAAAAAAAAAGCAAAATACTTACACACACACAAAAAAATTTCAAAGTCTTTAGTAGTACTTTAGATAAAGGAAAATTTTATGTATGTGTATGTATATTCATTTTCAATAAATATAACAAATTATTTTTCATTTCTTTTAACTTTTGATATTTATTTAGTCTAGGTAAGATAGCACGCATCTTTAATCTCAGCACTCAGGAACCAGAGGTAGGCAGGTTTCTGAGTTCAAGGCTATCCTGGTCTACAAAGCAAGTTCCAGGACAACCAGGGCTATACAAACTCTGCTTGGAAAAAAAATATTTACTTATTTTTATTTTCTATGTATGAGTGTTTGCCTGTATGTATGTACATGCACATCTGGTCTCTTGGAACTGGAATTACGGATGGTTGTGAGCCATCATGTAGGTCCTGGGAACTGAGTCTGGGCCCTCTGCAAGAGCATCAAGGGCTCTCAATGGCTGGAAGTCAAGAATGGGCAAAGGAAATGGGGCGTGGTGTATGTCCTTCTGATTCTCAGGTCTACATCTCCAACTCATCTACCCGATGGACAGACCTCTATCCAGTGTGTTTTCCTGTCTTCTCCTGTCCTTCCCCCACTACACAGAGCCCTTCCAGCCCAGCCTGCAGCATCAGCACCACACGTACAAGTCAGAAATGTGAATGCTGTCTTTCTTCATCTCTTCCAGCTTAATCATCAGCATCACCCATCCTTCTACCTCGTCATCTGCTGGATGCCTCAGGGTGGCTCCGACCCAGGTAGAAGTCTAGGTAATGAAGCCCTTTACAACAGAGGCTTTCGTGATGGGAGAAGACCAAACTGTGCCAAGAAAACACAGCAGGAGGTCAATGACCTCCGTCCACCAGGGAAGCAGGAAGATAGCTCTTTGGTTTGAACCTTGAAGAAATAGAAGGGAGGCTCCCTTAGGGCAAGAGAGGGAATTCTAAAGAGAAGCAACAGCAACAGAGAGCAGGAAGGATTGATCATGTCCAAAACGTGATCCTAACCACAAGTACTCTGGTGCACACCAGTTCGTAGCAGCATTATGCACAATAACCAAAAGGTAGGACCAACCCAAGACAGATCACTGGATAAATGGATGAAAAAAAACTGTGGGGTACACATGCAGTATTATTCAACTGTGGAAAGTACTGCAGCTGCTATCACATGAGAAACCCCAGAAAGTGTTACAAAATAGAAGAAACCAGACACAAAAATCACACTACATGACCGTTCATATAAAATATCCAGAAGAGGTAATCCATAGAGCTCAAAAGTGGATGGGAGCCGGGGAGCTGGAGAAACAGCTTAGTGGTTAAAAGCACTTGCTGCTCTTGCCAAGGACTCGGGTTTAATTCCCAACCCACACCCAGAGGCTCACAACCATCTGTAACTCCATTTTCCAGGGCATGTGGTGTCCTCTTCTGACCTCTGCAGGTACCAGGCACGCACGTGGCACCCATGCATGAAGGCAAAACACACATACACATAAGACATATACATACATATATATGTGTGTGTGTGTGTGTGTGTGTGTGTGTGTATGTATTAGCTCATATTGGTGGGTGCCAGGGTGATTGTTTAACGGACATGGGGTTTCCTTCTGAGATGAAGAAAATGCTTTACAGGTAGAGATGGTAGGCACCCAATGATGTGAATGAACTAAACACCGCTGAACTGTTCCCATGGTCACGGCTAATTTTATATTACATGAGTATCACTTCAGTTTTTCAGATCTCTAAACTCTAGGCACTAGAAATCGGGTGGGGGGGGGGTGGGACATGAGACTGTAAAGGCAGTCCAAAGGGAGCATGACTCTTGCCACTGCAGGCAGACAGACAGACAGACCGTCTTTGGAATGCCTTTACAGGCTCAAGACAGTGTTAAGTCCAACAGGTGAGTAGCTAGTGCCTTACTTGACCGAGATGAGCCTTGTGGGTCCTTATTCCTCTCGAAGTCCCGCTTTTTATCATCTTTTCTTTAGCATATGTTTTCCAGGAATATTCTTCATTGTAATGTGTCTGATTCAGAATAGGATCACCAAGCGAGTAGGTATATCCTAATCTTCGGATGCTCTTTGGACTACAGAAACAAGAAGTAGAGATTAGAGGAGGGGGCTGGCTTGGTGTCCCTCCTGTTACCGTGACAAAAGACTGACACAAACCCAAGGGAGAAAGGGTCTCTTCTGCCCCACAGTTCAAGAGCACAGTCCATCACGGCAGGGCGGCCAGGGCGGCAGGGGCTGGAAGCAGCCAGCCACATAGCAACCAACAGTCGGAAATCGGGTAATGGATGCTCAGCTTCCTTCCTCCACAGACACAGTCCAGGGGCCCAGCCAGGGGATGGTGCCACCCACAGTGGGTGAGCCTTCCCGCCTCCATCAATGCAACCAGTATAATCCCCTTCCAGGAACTCCCCCAGACCTGTTTCCCAGGTGATGCTAGGATTTACCAAGATGACAACATTCACCGTCAAAGCGACTAAGTGCCACGTTCCACAATGACAGCCGTGTCAAATTATTTTATGTATTTTACAATTTTTTTTAAAAGATTTGCTGGCTTAAGACTTGTCAGATATTATTTTAATTTTCAAATTCCCTTAAGAGAATCAATTTTATAAGCTGAGAGAGAGAGTGAAATGAAGAATAACAGTCTAAAATGTATCTTAGTGTTTTTATTAAGAGTTCCATAGTATATTCTCGTGTACAAAAGTTATTTCAATGCATCTGGGTAGTTGGTGAAGAGAAGCATCTCTGTAGAGAAATATTCTTGTAGGTTAAAGGGAAATATGTATGAATCGTGATATTGTTATAATCTATTAATTTGTTTTACGTCTGGGTGTTTTGCCTGCCTGTATGTGCACATACTGGTCCTGGGTAGGACCAATAGAGGGCGACAGATCCCCTAGAAATGGGGTTATGGATGGTTGTGAGCCACCATGTAGGTGCTGAGAACTGAACTCAGGTCCCCTGGAACAGCAGCCAGTGCTCTAACCATTGGGGCATCTCTCCAGCCCTGGATACTCTTCTTCAGTGTGCAAGTCTCCAGTGAAATGCATGCTGCCAGTACTGTAACTCACAGCTGAAAAAGAGGTCACCAAATATTATCACCAGATATTACCACCAAATGGCACCATCCCCGAGTATCACCCCCACATAATATTATCACAGGATCTTACCACCAGATACTGTGTGTTCCTAGACATTTTATACCACCACCCATTAAGTATTATTTTTTTGCCAGAATACAAAATAAGAATGAACTGAAATCTTTAATTATGGAATTACAAGAAATGTGCAGAAGGGAGAGAAAAGCAGTCATTGGGGGAACCCTGGTCAGAGGGCTTTTAAGGACATCTGCTTGTCACTCAGGTTCCACGCTCGTCCAGGGCTCATCTTCTGTGGCAGGTGTTTCTATAGAGTAAAGGGGAACCCTGGTCAGAGGGCTCTTAAGGACATCTGCTTGTCACTCAGGTTCCACGCTCGTCCAGGGCTCATCTTCTGTGGCAGGTGTTTCTATAGAGTAAAGGTTGGTGCTGGGGCCTGGGTACCACAGGCTGAGCCAGATGCTGCAGATTTCCATGCCAAAGGCAGCCCAGCTAAATAACATCTGGATTCCTGTCTCCTACCAGCTCTAACATGTTCATCAGTCTTCAGGGAGAGGCTTCTAAGAAGATGGCAGAGCATGCAGCGTTCTTTAGATGGCTCTCCCCATCATGTATTTAAAGATAAGCATTTTTGTTTTTCAGCTTAAAAAAAAAAATCCCTGGGCGATGTCGTTAGCTGGGGAGGAAGACCAGTCTGAGCTCAGGAAGCTGTACAAGCTGCTGCCGCTCGCCTTAAATATAACTAGACTTTTCTGGGCCATCGTACTTCTCAAGATTACTGTGTAAAACTGGTTCCTAAGAGTCCTGTGCTAATGGATGATTTTCAGATTCTGTGTTCATCACTCAGCAAGGTATTTTAATCCTATTTTTTAATCTAATCACAGTTTGCAATATTTACTGCAGCGTAGTCAATCTTTTTGTGTTATAAATCAATGAAGTTGTTCCTGATACAGAGAGAGAGAGAGAGAGAGAGAGAGAGAGAGAGAGAGAGAGAGCCTCAGAAAGACAGACAGACAGCCTCACCTCAAACCAGCCATCTTTCTCAGCTTCCTGAGTGCTGGGATCCCAGGCATGAGCCACTTTGCCGGGCTAGCTCTGGCTTTGAAAGGTAGCTGTTATTTATTCTCAGAAGTCTAGCACAGCGTTCTTTACAATAACACTTAACTAGGGAACATCACGTACGTGTTTGTTTTGAGACAGGGTCCCATTATGTAGCCCTGGCTGGCCTGGAACTCACAATGTAGCCCAGGCTGGCCTGGAACTCAGAGACTAAAGGCATGTGACACCACGGGCAGCCCATGTAGCTTTCCCTGACACTCCTCAGCACACAGAAATCTTACAGGTTTGGTTTCTTTCTTTTCGTTACTTGGTTATTGCTAATCATGTCAGACTTACACTATTTTACACTTCCCTCATCTACTTTTAATAATTTTCCCTAAAAAAATGTATTGCATCATTTATTTTCAATATTCTTCTTAATATCCCTTAAAATATCTTAAACTATATGTTAACATTTATGTGAATAATAAATGCAGATAGATTTCATCTTGACAGGAAATAATATAGTTTTGTATCTTTGGCACTAAAAACTGATTTTACCAGGTACACAAAGATGGCATAAACCATACAAGCTAAAATTTTGGTTCCAAGATTTAGACAAAAATGTATTTAAAGTCTGTAATAGTTGAAAGCCTCTCTTAAAAAAAAATTTTTTTTTAACCAGGGGCTGGAGAGATGGCTTGGTGGTTAGAGCACTGGCCGCTCTTGCAGAACCTGGGTTCAGTTCTCAGCACCTGCATGACCCTCACAACCACCTGTAACTCCAGTTCCAGGGGTTCCAAGGCCCTCTTCTGGCCTCCTCAAGCATCAGGCATGCACATGGGACGCAGACATAAATGCATGCAAAACATCCATGCACATAAAATCAAAATAAATTTAAAATGTTTTAAATCTACTGAAATCCATTTGTCAAAATTCCTGTTTCTGTTTTCCAAGTCTGTCTTGGGCTAGATAACATTTTAAAAGTCACATCAGGGGAGAAGAACAGGAGGCATGATTCAGTCGCTGTTTGATTCGGGGGAACTGCTTACTTCTCAGACTCCCACAACAGGGACTAACTCAGTGAATGGATGGCAGGTCATGTCATTTGCTCTCACTACAATGGAATGGGTTCCCCACCAAGCCATCAGTGGATCACTCATCAACAGTCTCCTTGTGACTCCTGGCATCTAAATGACACCCTGGCCCTGGATCTCTCTCTTACAATCTGCTCATTTAGAGACGGGCAGCTTTCCTGGGCACTAGCGTCTGTACACTGGAAAACAACAGAAGCAGGAGGAGGTTGATGCCAGGTGCCCTATCACCCTGGAAACAACACAGAAGGCTGGATGCATAAGCTCATGTATCTCATTAACATGTAGTTCCTCTAAAATACTTTTAATTTATTAATTATTGACTTCATATATAATATATAAATTATATATTTATTATTAACTCCATATATATTGCTTTAAGCAATTATGTGCTTAAAATAACTGTGATAGCTCAATTCTTTAGGTCATAGATAATGTTTACAATTTATTTTCAATTAATGTATTCAGTTACAAAGAAGTATAATAAGGTGATCAATAAATTGCTTTCACAACCTAAATGTCCTTCCATTGGAGAAAGGAGAATGAGAATGTTGTGCATATACACTATGGAAATTCAGCTGTAAAGAAAAACAAAATCATAAACTTTGCAGGTAAATGGACGGAACTAGAAAAGCTCATAGTGGATGAGGTAAGTCTGACCTCAAGATGAACATTGCCCGCTCTGGCTCTCTCTCTCTCTCTCTCTCTCTGGTTCCTAACTCCAAATCTTCATACACAAGTGTATGTTGCTGTGGGAAGGTCTGTATGTCAAATTGCTCTGATTGGTCAATAAATAAAACACTGATTGGCCAGTGGCCAGGCAGGAAGTATAGGCAGGACTAACAGAGAGTAGAAAAGAGAAAACAGGAAGGCATAGAGAGTCACTGCCAGCCGCCGCCATGACAAGCAGCATGTGAAGACGCCAGTAAGCCATGAGCCACATGGCTTGGTATAGATTTATAGAAATGGATTAATTTAAGCTATAAGAACAGTTAGCAAGAAGCCTGCCACGGCCATACAGATTGTAAGCAATATAAGTCTCTGTGTTTACTTGGCTGGGTCTGAGCAGCTGTGGGACTGGTGGGTGACAAAGATTTGTCCTGACTGTGGGCAAGGGAGGAAGACTCTAGTTACAATATGTCTCACTTCTCATCAAAGAAACATTTGCAACAGACAGAGACCATTATGGAAAACTATAACCCATCAAAATGCAAGGAGCAGGTCATGGTGTGGTGTCCCACCCCAGCCAATATATCTTCAACACAGCTCTTGCCCCTAAGGCTCCAGGATCACATCTGATCTCATATCCATCAGTCATGCAATCAAGGACAGGCCTGCCCTCCTCTCTGCTCATTCACTGTGGTGGTTTCAGTGAGACATGTCCTCCATAAGCTTGGGTATTTGACACTCAGGGGCACTGTCTGGGGAGGTTAAAGACCCCTTAGGTCGTACGTGCTTGCTGGAGGAAGTACATTTTTGTGGATAGGTGGCCTCGTAGCTTGGGCGACTTCCAGACTGCTCTTCTCTGCCTTGTGGTTGAAGACACGATCTCTGAGCTTCCCGCTTCAGCGGCCTGCTGCCACACCACCCTAACATTCTGGAACTATAAGCCTAACACAAACTCTTCCTTCTTATCATAGCAACGGAAAAGTAACTGATACACTATCCCTCCGCTGAGTGGTCAAAAAGTCCACAGCCCTCAGCCCACACGAGTCTAGAGGAGACGCTGCAAGCTAAGGCCGCAGGAACTGGAAGTCCAGAGGACAGCTGGATGAGCTTCCAGGACAGCATGGGTGACGGTGCTGAAAAGTGTCCTTCCATGCACTCTCCATCCACTCAACAGCCGCTGCATTGCCGGCCGCTCTAGTCTCCGGGAGGTGCTCAAGTCATTCATGTATAATGTCTGTCAACGCAGGTCTACAGCGACCC